TAACTTTCAGAGCTAAAAAAATCTATATATTGTTTGATAGGATAGGAATAAATAGAATCTAAATAATTAGCTGTAATGCAAGCATCATCTCAAATTTATATGATAATCAAATCCAGAACATTATAAATGATTTTTCCAAAAAATTACTAATCATGATGATATAGGTTGTGAAGATTCCGTTTCAAATTGGAACGAATATGTGACTTCAAAAACCAATAAGATTGAGATACAAGTAAATCCTTTAGAAGTAAGTATATCGGCAAATGTATTATCTGCATCTCAATCTAAGCCAACTTATAACCACACCTATTTTTGCAATAAGATATTGGATCAATATCCTGATTTATATAGAGAATTTAGTAATAAAAATTTCAATTATTATAGAATTACCAATGAAAAAATATGCCCATTATACGAGTCAGAGCATGATGAGAAGAAAAGTTTAGAAGGTAGATATAAAGCTGGATTTTATTTTATTAAATATGATTAGCGTGAAATTAAGATAACTGTATAGTCTGATTACTTGGACAGAAGCCTATTGCATAACTCTGTATTTGTTTACGTTTCATTGTGATATTTTTTAGGGCTAATTTATGTCAACTATTACTTAATTTAAATTGATTTGCGATCGTATAAAAAAAAACATGACCAAGTCTGATAAAATATTAACTCTCAAATATCTGGATTGGCATGTCAAATTAAGTGGGTTATCAAGCGTTTTGATGAAAAAGATCCATTTCAGCTTATATAAAAATATAAAAGAGAAATGGAACTTGAGCCATGGCAATTATCAGAAGGTCACCTTCTCATAAATTCAAAGCTAGAAAACAAAGTATCTGATTTATCTTTTTCTGAGCAATATGAAGAAAAAAGACCTATCACCTTCGAAGCCAGACCCAATCCAGAGTTAATTATCAAATCTATATTAGAGCATTTCACATACTTGAAATTCTGAAATAGTTTTAGAGGGATTGATAATTATAATTTTGTATCTGCTCAGCCGTGGAGCTCACCATGTCCTATTTGTGATGGAAAACATAGGAATTATGGATTAAATGGCAAATGGTATGGAACAGAATATTGTCTTACTTGCTTTACTTCAAGCAATAAATTCAAGTTCGCTATTGTAGCATAGAAGCTTTATCATGTACTCTCACATTTGTATTTATTTATCGCTTGCATGTATTGATAAAGTGTTGTGAATATTTCTTTCTCACTTATTACAAACTACGAAACTGTGATGCGCGTCACAATCTTACTTTTTTATTTTGTGACAGATAAGGCAGTGATCAACTGATGAGTCAACAACCGATTTAACAAGTCATTTCTTTAAAAAAAATAAATTTGCATTTGCTCATGTGAATCGAATTTTCACAAAAAGTTTTCTTTCTTATTTTGTAAAACTATGAAACTATGATAGAGAAAATGAACCTATGTCAGAAATGGTTATTCTTCCATTGGTCGACGTCATAAAGAAAGAATGAAAAAAGGATGATGTATTCACCTTCTTATAAAGGGAGGACTTGAACTTAGATCTTGATGAAGAGGATATTGAGATAATCAGAAGTAAAAAAATTGTTAGTAAGGCCTTATTCAGCTTGTCGAAAGAAGAACTTCAAAGCTATAGACTACAACTGGGTCTGGCTATTGCGATTTCTGAGCTGATAAAGGAAATCAAAGGTGAGCAAGGTGTGTTATAAAGATAGTATAGCGTAATTTTTTGTCTTTCTCTGTCATATTCGCCAATAATAGCGAATACTTATTTTTGCGCTTTTCTTTCCTGCTTCTTATCGTCAAACCCGCCCAAAAAACATATTCGTATTACCGTAAAGCAACCTGTTGCTGGTAAGTAAGTTGTAATAAGTTTTCAATGCGAGTGAACGCGTCCTGGCTTGATTTTCCATTTAAATATTACTAATAATGTTTCAAATTTTTTTCTCACATAAGTGAAAAAAAGGAAGGTAACTTTTTTCTGAGTACTTTAATTGGATTTAATTATATCCTAATTTTTTTGTCTTATTCACAGGAACAGAAGATCTTAAGAAACATTTCGATGAAATCGCAGAAAAACTTAAAGAAAGACTTGATCATAAAATAGATGGAGTGAGTCATAAAATGAAGAAAGTATGACTTCAGAGTGAGGTAATGTGATATAATGCTTCAGGTATGTCATTTTTTTTCAGTACATCCAATTTATAATCCGACCCATTATCATTTCCTTTAAACATTTTTATTAGGTACTGATACGGAAACCGACAAAAGTATCATTGTAGGAGAACGAGATACTGAAACTACATTCCCACTTAAACTGACAATGACTACCCAAAGAAGAGTATACAGAAAGTTTAAATACCCACCTAGCCCTGATGTTTCAGAAAAAATATTGCAAGAATATTTTATTGATGAATGCAAACCATTACAAAAATCAAAAGATTCAAAACTTGTTGTTGAAGACATATATTCTGTCCCTCTACTGGCCACTCGAAAACCGGACTTTGTATTCATTGCTAAAGGTCATCTTTTAGATGCATTACGTGTTGTAGCCATTGGAGAAATAAGAAAATAATCTAGCAATAATTTCACTAATACAGATATAGGACACGCCATATCATTTGGTGAAAAGGTCCTCCAACTCCAGCCTCGAAGAGCCTATGTATACGTGCTTTAACAGATTGCAGACTTGTCTGCATTTATAAAGTGACTAGATGCAACTCTAATATTGGTAACAATATCCGATTCTCGTATGAATACATATTACCTGCAAATTTAAACTATGAATCCAGTACTTACGCTCCAGCTGAGTGAAAGTATCTAGTAACGATTATGGAAAGTGATCCAGAAAAACTTGGATGGATTGATCCATCATTGAAATTTGACTCGGATACTGTGAAGCTTGTTCAATCAATCAATACAGGCAGGACTAGTATTGTGTATGAAGGAAAACTTAATGATAAGGATTCTGTAGTTGTTAAATTGGCGAAAGAGGAAAATATCTTTCTTGTTTTGAAAGTGAAAAAAATGTGCTAGAAAATTTTAAATCGTCTCATTTTCCAAAACTCCTCCTGTATGATAAGAACTCCCTTATCATAACTCCTCTAGGTACGAAAGTCAAAAATATGCAAAAGAAGGATGTCAGAAATATCATTAATACCCTAAGGATAGCACATTCACAAAATATTGTCCACATAGATCTTCAGAGATATAATTTCATTCATGACCATGACGAAAAAATCTTTATTATTGATTGGGAATATAGCGTAACAAGAAATGAAACTAGTAATTTCGCTGGAACACTTGAGTGTATGTCTGATGATATCTTAAAATTATTAGCCGATGGTAAACAAATTTTATACTCACCACGTATTGACCTAATATGCCTGGTAAGGTCATTTTATTTAATGCTTCACAAACTGGCAAATACAGCAATGGAGAGAATTTCCTTTGACAAGATTCCTGACTTCAAATCACGGGCAAAAAATGTGTTGACCTTTTGGTCCTCCCATGGTAAATCAGATATATGGCAAAAAATCCATCAAGAAGCGAATGACTTGAATTATAATAATTTAATCAAAGAACTTGAAAGATTATTTTAATATTTGATGCAAAGTGAAATGGTTAGCGGGTAAAATTATAGTTTGACATTTGCAATTTTATTTTTTGATCTCTTGCGTATTGATTGCATATTTTATCATTATATTCCTAAAATTAATGAAGTTCTTATTAATAAAGTAATATGTGCTTACTGTGCCCTGGCGATGTGTTTTTTTTACATTTGTATTTCAAACATAAGATAATAAAGCATTTGCATATCTGCTCATATTGGGCCTTTACTTGTATTCTACATGCAATGTAATATAAAGTACTTTTACCGAAATCTTAAAATGTACTGCGCTATTTCTTCTGACGAGCCCAGACAAGCTAGTCCAGACTCTACCATCATTATTTCTTATAGATCATGCTTCTATTGGTTGGGTTTTCACGCTTATCATATGATACCTGAATTCTGTCTTCTCAAAGTTTAGCACTTTTTTTATATGTAGTATTGTAAAACATAATTTTCGTTACGCATATCAAATTAACTAATAAAGGTTTGCCCATATCGGATCTAATGTTTTTTAATCAATGAATGTATACATGTATGATTTGCATAGGGCATCAATAAATTCTGAAACATGCTATTCATCAGTATAAGTTACTAAAGAGTTGCTTAAAACGCTATAAATCAATAAATTGCTATAAATCATTTTAATTCATTAATTTAGTAAGAAATATGTCTGGTCAAACTGTTACAATTATTCTAGATGAGATTTATAATAAATCTGTGCCTAAACCCACCAGTCTTTGTTCTGAACATGATATAGAATATAGTAAAGCATATTGCCATATTTATTCTATCGATCAAATCAAAAAAATGGTTGAGATGGAAAAAATATATGATAATTTATCTATTATTAGATCATATGAAACTCCAAAGCAATGGGCCATTCATGTAAAAGCCACTTTGTAAATATTGATTGCTAAAGGAAATAAAAGCTTTTATCATGTATTTTACCTTTTTGGATCATTTGGGTAAGGAGTAATCAAAACAACTAGGCAGGGAGAGAACTTCCCATAAGTTATTATAGATCTAGTGTTCATAAAAGTCTGTTTTAAATGCTGGAAATTGGTAAAAATCACTGAAGTAAAACCAAGAAAAATATATTTTGATGGATTGTGCAGATGAGGCTATAAGATTAAGTTCAAAGATTTAATGAAGGATCATTGGAATAACTCTTGCTTCAAGGCTGAGACTGCAATTATGACAAAAAATACTATGTTAAATACTCCAAATTTCGAGCCAGCTTATATTTTACCTGCTAGAAAAGAAATGATTTCACTAACTTTTTATTAGTCATCAAATTGCAAAAGTGATACAGGTGAAATATTTATCTTATCTTGGTATGCAAAAAAAAATAACTTAGTACCATCTGTAAACCATCTTAATCAGCCCACATTAAGATTAAAAGATAGGACAAAAGTTATGATTGTTTAACTCGTTTAACTGAACGATTCTGAAAAATATTTTAATTATAGACAATTAATTTCAATTTTAATTTTTACGCTATATAATCTAGATGATCACCTGTAAAATGTATCACCTGTGAAATAAAAATCTGATTTGCCTATTCTGGATTAGATCTTCTAATTTATCATGAAGTATTATTTTAGAAAGATCAATGAAGCAATCTTGGGGATTCTTGATTCCTAAATACTACTATAATTATAGCTTTGAAAATTTCTATGTGACAGTTATCTAGAAAACTTATAGAAATTATAAGAAGAAGCCTAAATCTTTGACAAAACAAGTTTGGAAGATAGTGATAATACTCCCGATGATATGAAGTTTTTAGGTATAAAAAATAAAGAATATTATTCTTCAGGACAAATTTGGTATGAGGAATATTGCTTTTTAATGAAAAATGGTTGGATATATGAGAAGAGAGTCCAATTAGGACCCCAAGCTATATATATATAGGTCAGATAACTGATTGCTTAGCCAACTTAATAACCTTTTCAGATGTAAGATTTTGAATTTGCATAAAATCATCAAAATTTTCAAAAAGGTCAGATTTTCAATTTGTGTAATTTTAACTTAATTTTAAAATAGTAAAATTTTATAATGCTTATTTTTGATACAAATTAGGAAGTCTAATATATATATATATACTAGTAATCTACTTTTATTATAAAATAATCATGCAACTAACATATGGCTAGTAGTAGTACATGACAAATTTTTTTTACCCTTTTTTTTTATAAAATTTCTGTTCTACGAAGAGTTTCTAATGTCTGGGTGAAAGTATAGTAAAGAACAACTCTTAAAATACAATTATTATACCTACATTATTAATCTAAAAAAGGTGATATGCATATGTAGTAAAGTTATTAAATTAAATCAGAAATGGGAAGATGATTATTTAAATCGACATGCTAAAAGTTCTGGTTATAAAGTGAAGGAAGGCCAAAGATCAATTTATAATTTCTTTAAGCCTACTCAAAGTCAACATATTGAAAGTTTATAAGATAAGTGGAGCTTAGATATTTATGATGATATGGACGATGATGACTTGTTAAAAATAGATAAAGCAGAGGAAGATCAAATAGATGATGTAGATCCTCTTTCTACAGATGATAAATTACCAAATAATACTAATAAACGTTTAATTTGTAAAGGTCTTCAATCTGAACAAATTTCCAATTATATAAAACATACTCTAGCATAATTTGGTGGTTCAAGACAAGTAGAAGTTGTAGCATGCAAATTATTTCCCAAATTATTTCTCAATAAAAAGTTTAGCAGAAAGAAGTTAGATTATGAACAGAAACAGAAATTGAATTATGTTTTATATGCAAAGTCTACTTGGCAAATAGATAGAAATAGTAAGTTATTAAAATAATATTATTGAATTTAAGAAAAATTTAAAATTATTAAATTATTTCTATTTTTTTTTAAATAAAGATCACTCAGTACGCTCAAAAATATATTCAGGAATTGCTGAAAATGACAATATTTGTAATGAATATCATTATATTTGATCTAATGTAAATCTTTATAATAAAATTAGAAAAAAAATGCCATTACTAGAAAATATCAAATTTACTCCTAAATTTTATTAGGAAAATAGCCCTTTAAAGTTCTATCTTCAAAATATTGATCTTCGTGAATTCTGGACCTTACTTAATAATGATAATTAAAATAACGATAATCAAATAATAACATCTTGAATTTTATTGGCTGATAAGGCAATAAAAGGGGCATTTGAAGATACACCAGTCTTTATAGGACTCTGCAAAGTAATGAACAAAGCTGCTGAACGAAAAGCTAAAAATAAAGGCAAACAAAACATGAAATATAATGAAAAATTTACTAATTTCTTAGTTCTTTTGGGAAGTATTAGCTTCAGAGCCTTAGATTTGTTTTGCCAAAATCTAGAAGGAAGAGGAATTTAATTATTAAAGTATTATTAAAAATAAATATTTGCGCAATTTTCTTATATTTTTTATATTTAAACTTTATTTTAATTATTAGAAAATTACGTCATAATAGTGAAGATTATTTAATAGATCCTGATTTTTGTTTTGAGAATGTTGCTCACTATAAATAGCTAATTAATAGTATTAAATATGATGGTCTGATTGCTGCGATGACAGATAATACAAAGTTAAAATTGTAACTTAAATATTCTCCTACTTTTGATTACATTATTAGATTGATTCTTTCAAAAGAAGATACATATATAAGTATTTATTCAGATATTCCCAATATAATTACAAAAATTAAATCATCAAATGAAATTACCAAAATTGTTCGTGTATATCTCTTACAGGTATAATATTCTATATATTATTATCATATAAATAATTATTAATTAAAGCTAATGTAATATCTAATTAAAAATTTCAAAAGATACCTTTACCTAAATTTCTTCCAGTTGTCATTTCTCTTATTCCCAATAAAGGATTGGATACTGTTAATGATATTAAAAAATTACATAGAAACTGATTGAAGAAATTGCATCACAACTTCACCTTCATATTTTATCACTAGGTTCTGATGGTGTAATTACAAAATTTCAGGTACAGCAATCAATTCTCAATACTCAAACTACCAAAAGGCTAACAATTTGTGAATCTTCTTTAAATGTCAACTTTTCATACTATATTTTGGATAATATTGGTCCTATAATCAGAGTACAGAATGCAAAACATGCTAAAAAAACTGCACAAAATGCAGTTATGTCTAGTGCACGTTTATTAACTTTTAGAACATCATCTGCATGATTTTAACACTTTTTGAATCTTATTCCTTAAATTGTCTAGCAGGCAAATTTGCCTGCGAACTTAAAAAAATGTTATTTTTTTTTAATAAAATATTAAATATTAATTTTAGTAATATAATAATAATATGAAAAATATAGTTTAATATATATTTTA